TATTTTTTCGCCCGGAAGCGCGCGATTGCCTTATTGATCTGGTGTCCCGATGTTTGAGTCGCGCTCACTCTCTTTTCCGTGGTCACGGGCCGTTTTCTAAGGTTTCGACGTGACCACCAAATTTAATCAAAGTCGTGAGTCATTGAAGGCACACAGTCAATACTAAAAATATATAAAAAAAATATGAAACCCATTTTTTGTGGCTTCCCAAAAGCTGCAAATAGGTTGATTGAAGAAAGAAAAAAAAAGGTTGCACAGACAACTGGAAGCATTCCGTGCGTTCACCGCATAATTCTCAACATGGCGTCGTTTCTCGTTTCGTGGGACTCGCGGGTGGCAGGGGACGACGGGCGTGGGACCTCTACTTCAGAACTGTTATTCACGGTACCGGCGAATTCCCTCTTCCTTCGAAAGATAAATTTTTGACCGATCAAAAGAATTGATATTCATCCCGTACGACACGCCCGACCAGCAAGACGATTGCACGAAGACGTCGCCGAGCCGTCGTCCCTTTTCGTGGCTGAAGACATCGGTCGCTCAAACCTCAAGCACAAAGTGCGTACATCGACTTGAATACACGTACACGCGCACGGTTTCTTCACTTGGTGCGAATGTAACCAATGCGTGGTGCTGCCCGCCTTCAAGCTGGGAGTGCATGTACTGGAGGGAAATCGGGAGCGAACTTTCCGAGATACAGTCGACCGGATGCATTGCAGGCATTACTACTGCGGAAAGATTTTTTTTATTAGCTCAGTGGAAAGACATCCGCTTCACGCGCAGCGGGCACGGCTTCGATCCCTAGTGGGGCATACCATTATTTTTTTTCTAACATTTGCGATCTGCTGTACCTGGAAGAAACAAAAAATCGCACGGTCGGGTATAGCCACGTCAGTTCCGCCACCACTCTCTCCTCTCCACATTTCTGTACGGTGCGTGGGTTTCGGTTTCAGTTTCGAGCAGTTGCGCTTTTTGGCTTTATTAAAGCAATACGTGACTCTGTAGCAAAATATTAATTGGGTAGTATTCCGTCACAATAATAAATCGCATGGCAAAAAAATAAAAACATTTTTGGGGTGTCAGTGTCTCTTTAAGCAGAGCCTTGAAGTGGAGCATAGCTAGCACCCTCTATACTCACAAATCCTGACAGTTCAACAATACAGTCATAGAAAGCCCGGTAGCAGATTTGGAGCGCGTTCATCTGGTAGCACAGAGCATTTCTCGGGAACCTGGACGTCAGCGCACAGCTTTTGCAGCGGCAAGGACCCGAAACATGGTTGTCAAACCCGACGAGAAAAGAAGCTTTAGCGCGAGTAGGGTGCCTGGAACGCGTTTCCGACTGGTGTGTTTACCGCGCCCCAAAAAGTGGTCCCTCGATTTCCGCCTGATGACGTTAAAGAAGTGTCATGCTGTCGCCGGTCGCGACCCGGGTGGTGTCTCAGCAGCTGTGGTGGATTGGCAGACGCCTGTTCTGCTGCAGGTCGCTCCCCACTGTGACAGCCCACGGAAGCTACAGCAGCCGAAAGTTGGGATGCCTGGGGCGCCGTGACGACAGCGACACCCGCGTTCGCTCCCGTATTTCGCCAGCATTTCTACGGCCAACCGCCAGGATCGCGACAGTCAACAGCATGACACCCCGGCTTCTGTGACGTCATTTGTTGCCACTTGGGGGCCACATTTGATGTATGGACAGCATAGGACGCTAAACACACCAGTAGGAGACGCGTTCCAGGCACCATAGCGCGAGGAACGCGAGGATCACGAGCGGACATTCCATCGCTCGGGAGAAGCGCGTTTCGGCGTCTCGCCGCAGCGGGGCCCCTATCACGTGGCTCTCCTCTCATCCGTTGTCTGCCGCTCTACCTTTTCAATTTCGGCGGCCGCTTCTCGTTGCGATCGGCACGCTTTTTCTGTATAGGAGGCTATGAGTGGAGAGATCTCGGGTGCGTTGTTCAAGCCAGCGTTCGTTGACGCAAGAGCAGACGCGCTGGGCGAAAAGCAAACGCACAGAGGTGTCATGGCGAAGCTGTTTATGGCTAGGGTTCCGTGGATTTTTTGTGTGCCTGACCAAAAACTCTCCGCTCGCACCGCACCCACGTGCCGTGCCGGCGTCTGTAGCAGCATAGCCTGCTGCGGACCCGAAGTGCTGCCTTTTAGTTCGAGGTACTCCATTCGACTCGAACCTACTTGAGTTCACTTCGTTGAGGAAACATTGCACAATGTCGAATGTTCGGCGTGCCATCAAGTTGAGGGATGTATAATTCAGGCCGATTTTAAGCCGACCCAATGGTCGTGTGCGCTATATACTTTTGCGCAAGACCGCTCAACTGGAGCGACTATGAATTTTAAAAAGGCCCATACCTAATCCAAGAATACACAAGCAAAGAAAAAGTGATCACGAAGCGGCAAACCCGTAATTCTGTCACTGTCTGCCAGCGACCAACACAACCTCGTGTCCGCGTAGTGCTGAATTTTCGACTTTATCTACAGGAGGCAACTATGGGGCGCATAATGCGAGTTTTGCGTCAGCGTTCAGCTACCACTCATATTCAATCAGTCAGGACACGATTCAGTCGCTAAAACACAATCACTAAAGTACCAGTTTAACGCTGACGGCACTCGTGTTCAACCCGTGTCCCGTGCTGTCCCGCAGGTACTTAGAAACTCCGGCATTACGATCCTGCTATCTAGTAGAGCGGTGAATCAGCTAGGTTAAATTCATTTATAAAGTACTCTACCGAACGAAAAAAAAAGAGATATAATCATTATTACTAATTCTCTTTAAAAACAGAGCGCATAGGGGATTCACAGGACTTCGAACATGCGATAAAAATAGGCCTTCATATCTTTTGGTCGTGAACACTAGAAACTCCGCGTCCGCGTAAGCGCATCCAAGATGTTTGCTCACTTTGGCTCAGGCTCTTGGGCATTAAAAATATTTATACCTGAAAAAAAAAAAAAAAGATAAAATAAAAAAAAAGTAGGCGAAAGCTTGCACGAACTTCTTTTGGGTGTAGGTCCGCATGTCAGTCAATGCGGGTTTTCAAATACCATATGAAACTAGGAGGAGGAACATATCGTACGAAACACTATCATTCATTTCCAGAGCTAAGAATCGAACAGTTCTTGGGCTAATAAATAACGTTTTCTTCAAAATCTGCTGCAACACCGCCCCACCCCCCCCTCCCCCCCCCCCCCCAAAAAAAAAAGAAGAAAAACTGCGTCTTAAAAAATACAAATGATCTAAAATTCTAGACTTTTCTTTTTACCCAGCAACCAATTGAAAACGCAGTGGCACACATTTGGCCCTTTCCCGCAGCCAAACCTTGACCAAAAAAACACAGCTGTGCAAATTTTTTTTTTTTTTTTTTTTTGCAAACGGATGAACACGTTTTTTACTCTTGACAGAACGTTATGTCCACTCCCTGAGACAAGCTGAGATATATCACTTCTTGTGCCAAGGGGGAATAGTTGCAATGCGATAGTTACTTAGCCATAACAAGGGCAAGAAGTATGTGGGTAACCGGGGGGCCATGTCATATGACCATATCACGTAAGTGGACGGCACGAAAAAGTTGATAAAAGCGGCCAGAATGTGCGTGAGCATATAGGCGACCGCGTGACTTCATCATATGATCATATCGGTAGATTCGACGTCATGAAATCATTCAAAAGAGCAGTGAAAGGCGAGAGATGCTCAGTACGACCTTATGGCACCTAGAGTCACTGTATGGGTTTCCAGAGTAACGCACTTCTTTTTTTTTTTGTGTGTGTTTTGCCTACAACATACTCACTATAGCCGATCATGTTTTGACTTGGTGAGCATCCTGAGCATCATTGGACGGTAGCGATCACGCGACACAAGCACCGCTAGACTCACCTCCATCAGCGCTTCAAGCAGCTCTAATCGCCACCATCTTAGGTCCAGCAAACAACTGCACATGGAACGTCCGTTTACGCGCCGCCTTTTCCACGCGGTTACCGACTTGAAAAGCAAAGAGGTTGTGTACTTAGTGGCGGAATGCCTGCTTGTTGCGCTTTTGGCCGCAGCAGCAGGTCGGAGGATGAAAAGAGATTCTTCCGAATCCCGTTTGTAAACGCAGCTGCAAGACGGAGGAAGAAGGCTTGGCTGGCCGTAGTAAAACGGAAAGATTTTGAGCCCACTGCAACAAGCAAGCTTTGTGAGGTAAGTGCCGACTACAGCTGGTTCATTCTGCGTATCGCAGAATGAACCAGCTCGTTCAACACGCTCCAATGCATGTCACTGTTGCCTTCATACCACCGTCGACGCGTGGACCCAAGATGGCGGCGCCATGGTTTCGGCTTCAGCGCCGCGCCGCGGTTCTAGAACGAACCTTTGGAGTTTCGTTACTCTGGGAACCCATACTGTGACTCTAATGGCACCTACTGGAAAAACTGGTGCCGAATACGTGCTTGTATGGAGACAACGCAAGAAGTAGCATGCCGCAGATTCTGAGCAGACCGAGTGAAGCCAAACCATTTTGTGTATACGAATTTTATCCGTAGGATCAAGGTATATCAAGCATAAGAGAGCAGATTTTAGTCATAAACTCACATGTTTAGAGGCGTAAATTTACACCAATTTATGGAACCTGTTAACTTCAATTCAATTCAGTGTTTTTTATTCAGACAACATACACCTGACAGTTGTCTAGGGGGCCGTTGCAAAAGGCAATTAAATTTCTGACAAGGCGTCGACCCCCCCCCCCCCCCCCCCCGCGCATCATTTAGCGTGGCACACACGAAGTCAGAATAATGAAAACTTGCGAAACGTACACAACCATATGAAAACCACAAGCACAACAGTGCACACGGGATAGCACTGCATAAAGGTTAAGAAAATAACAAATAACGTGCTTTGATAAAAAAGAAGCATAAAACATGACACAGCATAAAACATAACACTCTAAGCTTGCGTCCTGTGTCCATGTTCATATAAAAATAACGAAGTATTTTTATAACCCATCGTGCGTACCAACCAATCAGGCCTTGACTACAACGGCGGAGCCGTACACCTGGGGGCTCAGCACTGTGGGAATAGACACATGCACTTGGGTAAGTTCAATCTGGTCAAAGCCTGCAGCCTTCAAGAGGCGTTCCGGTCTCCTGTTTACGTGACATCCACAGAAGGAGAAACTCCACATCGGGTTGAGCAGCGTTTGCACGAAGAAGCCCCAGGTACCTTCTGGATGGGCCACGTGCTCCAGGAATACCAATCTGCCGCCCTGCAAACAATAAAGACAAATTCGGATGGAAGTATACTCTTAAAAATGCCCATACGGGTTATCCGGCAGAAAACGCGGATAGCCATTCGCCTGTGGCTGGCTATACGGCACCTGGAAGCCGACCACCGCGGTGGCCTCGGAGCAGATTCGGAAGCATTGCCGGTGCATTTACTGATTCACTGAAAACTCTACTACGCCGAGGGCGGCGTGGGCAGCTCTTTCAGGGCAGAGGATGCGGAAGTCAAGACAGCGCTCAAAGTGCTGGACATGACATTTACGGAGTAGCGGAGTAACGCATTCGTTCAAGTAGTAGGTCGCATTCGGGATCCGACTAAGTTCCGCGTCAACCATGGAGTGTTACATTGTCTAGCTTCAGTATGGCTTCAACTCAGGCAAAACTAGTTGTGCGAGCGCGTGCAAATGAGACGCATGACGAAGCCACGTGCTCAGCAGTACGGGGCAGCACGTCCTGACGCAACCTTTATTTTCGGGTTTTCGAGGGAAAAAAACAAAGCTTCATGCGTAACTTTATGATTTAGTAATGAATGTAGTGCTCCCGCTAATCACGCTGGGGAACAAAAGGGGCGCAGGAGTGGGAGCGTTGCTTTGAAGAACAATTAGAAAACAAATAGCTAGCCATTCTTGTGCGGCTGACAATTCGTTGGATCACGCTTTGGCAAGATATGAATGAGCCCTTGATATTGGCTGTGTCAACAGAATCACCCGTTTGAAAGCTCCCGTGGTGTTTTTGTTGTGGCACGCGGAACGCTGCTGAACTTTGTGGGAGCCACTGGTTTGGTTTCCCTCCCTCGAGAAGGCGTAAGCCGCGGACGTTCCAGGCGGGGTCTTTCTGACTTCGAGCCTGGTCGCTCCGTATCGTGTCGGGGAGAGAGCGCCACCATGCTAGATTACTCTCTCGCACTCCTCCGCGCGTCTCCCGTTTTTGACGGACCAGCGTTGCGGGGAAGAGTCGGTCCTGCCCCCGTGTGGACGGCCGTCTGGTCGGGGGGTCCTGGATGGGGCTCCGGACGACGGGTCAAGTGGCGGCGTACGAGCTCGTACGACCGGCGATGGTTCGACGCTAGTGTTTCCCCTGGCTCTGACAGTCGGCGTCTCTCTATCTAGTGGACATCCGTCTGCCGAGAGCACTGGCCCCGAACTCCTGCGACGACGGGTAGCGGCGTGAGCTCGTCCGACCGGCGATGACTCCGCTCGCAATTACCCCTTTGGCTCTCAGGTCGGCGGGCGCTGCGGGCACACTGTGTCAACGGCTCGCTTGACCGTAGTGTCTTGTTTGGGACCCCTGGTACTCAATAAACGCTGTTGGACATCGGGACCATTGTTGTTGGCATGGCGTTGGCGAACCCGGCGCGACGACCGTCCTCGCTGGTAGCCGTCGGCCGCGCGGTGGGACGGGCACCGGATTCCCCTTTGAGCACCGGTCCCGGGTGTAAAGGTACGTAATCTACCCTTTCTCCCCACAAATTTCCTGCCAATGCGATGGTCATACTCGAAAGCATCTTCCACATTTTTTTCCGGGTGTCATTAGGTAATCAGCTTGCCAAAGTTACAGAAATCTAAAACTTTGCTTGCAGGGTCGAAAATGATTTTTTTTTTAATTCTCAGGTTACCAATTCCTTCTTGCTTATTTATCTGCATGTACAGTGTACAGCCTTAAGGCCACTGCGCGCGTGATCGGAGCGGGTTCGATTCCATTAGGCGGTGCTGCTATCAACGGCGCTCGCTGGCTCAGTGAAGGGGTCTTCGCTCCAAATACCTTACTAAGAGAACACACTATGCTCTACTCATTTGCATTAGACAGCGCGCATACAGCATCAAATCCTCCGATGCTGCCATGGACAGACGACGTCTGAAGAATCTATGTGCGTCGCGCTGTCCACCCTGTCGCGCTTTCGTGCTACACCGAGGGAGAGGGCTGCCGCCGACACACCAAGCTATCGGATAGTGGAAAAAGCTGTTTCCGCGCTCTCGAAAGCTTTCCACAACAACAAAAGCCGGCAGTTATCTCCCCCAATTCAAAGGGGGGAAGAGCCCAAGCCTGCGCGGCGTCCAGCCCTTCTAACTAGGCAAGCGCTGTCGGCTTCAATGCCATTGGGTTGTCGCGGAGTAACATGAATTCCCTAATAAAGAATTTGTTCGAAGTTTCCCCTTACACTCAACGACGCCCTTGCAGCCAGCGGGATTTCTAGCTAGTATAGCGCCACCATACGTGAGCGAATTCGCTCCGGCCTCGCGCAAGGTTGGATATTGGTATTGGTATTTATTGCGTGCCCAAAACACCATGAAGGCTTTGATATTGGTGCACATAAAAGACACAAATGAGTACAACATGCAAAGACGTGAAATACAGGAGTGACACACCAGTCATAATAAAACAAATTACAGACACAAGTCAGTATTCAAAGGAAATAAAGCATGGAGAAAAAATCATGCTGCACAAGGCTATTACAAAAAAGTTGAATTCTGTGCATTGGTGACCCTTCAATCTGCTTGTCAGGATAAAACGTATCGCACAGTCGCGTGTGTTTAGCTGGCACAAGTAAGGTTGTACTACTCAAAAGATCAGGTACATCGAAACGACCTTGTATGAGTTTCTGTAAAAACTCAGCATCCCGGCAATATCTGCGGTCAATTAGGGTTCTGAGGTTTAAAACTTTAACAAGAAAGTTATACTCAAAATAGAGACTCCTGTTAAAATTCCTGTCGTATACTGTGCGTATCAGACGCCTTTGTACCATTCCAATGCGTCTGCAATCGCTATGTGATAAAAAGTTCCCCACAACAGATGCTAATTCAAGTCGTGGCTTTGGACAAACTTTGGACAAAATCTGCACCTCACCGCTTGGCCGGCTTCGTCGTCGCTGTTGGTTTTTCGCTAAATAAGAAGTCAACAACGCAGGCCAGATGGCGCTTTGAAGTGAATAATAATTAAACATAATTATTAGTACAAAACACACAAGGCATGCCGGCCTAGACCAACTCCACAGATAATGAAGGCCTCCGGACCCTTCCTCTAGGGAACGTCATCACAATCGGATGGCGACAACTGAGCAACCGGACCGAGCCCGTTGCTGATACAAGCCGTGACGTCGCATTTCTAAGGGAGACCTGACTGAAGACGTGGGAATCCTATCGTGACACAAAGAGGTGAAAAGTATTCAACGATTACAGAAACGTCACATTGTTTGAAGTTCAAGGGATACGCGTAACGCAAGAGGAACATTTTGTAGTCCGCCGGTTATCTATGCCATCGTATTTCATGTTTTCTAATGAGGTAAAGTATCTTTTTCGCTAGCCGTCTCAAATGAAAGTTAGGACGAATTTTCCAGCGGTACAAAGGGCGACTTTTTGCCTCTCAAAGTTTTCGATAAATTTTCAGCCTCGAGAGGCAGGCGTTAATACGAACCTTGTCGCACAAGAAAGAACCCGGCAAAATGGATACAATGAATTGAATGAAACAAAGTCACGCACCTTGGACAGCACTCTCCGGCACTCTGCCAGAGCCTTTTCCATTTCGGTCACGGAGCAAAGCACGTAAGTTATCAGCACGACGTCGAAGTGGCCATCGGGAACTCCCCGCATGTCTTCAGCGTACTCGTGAATCCAGTTCTCCATTTCCACGTTAGGGTACTTTTCCATGTTCTTTCGGAATCCGTCATCGAACTCGGCGTTGGGGTCCACGTTCCAGTACTTCACCTTCCGCTGCATGTACGCGAAGTTGGCGCCGAAACCGGCACCGATCTCCAAGACCCTGATGGCGCCTTCCTTCTTAAGAATGGCATCGTGAGACACCAGGCCCGTCAGCTGGGACACCGCCTTCCGACGAACCTCATTCGTTCTTTCCCCATACAGGTACATTAGTATGGGAAAGGCGAAGCGCGCGAAATACGCCTCGTGAAGCTTGTTGCTCATCTTGAACGGCATAATCAAGAAAACACCGAGGGTCATGGTCCCGTAAGTGAAACAAGACCGTAGGATGTCGCCAAGCCTGGCCATCGTGGGAGTTCGCAGACCCGGGTTCCCTTCTAGAAGACTTCCTCTTCGGCAGCTCCTCCGGAGAAACAATGAAAGCCTATAGTTTTTCGCGGCCTCTTCACGCGTGCCCGGTTGCAAACATTATCTTCAATATAGAGATAGATAGATATGAAAAAGCTCGATTATCGCAATCATCTCTCTCTTTCTTTCTTTCTCCCTCTCTATCTTTCTTTCTCTCTCTCTTTCTCTCTCTCTCTCTATATATATATGCGTAGGGCAGGCACGTAGCCAGGATTTTGCTTCGGGGGGGGGGGGGGGGGCTCGCCCCTACCGGGTACCCGGCGAACCTTGTTCCCACGCTGAGGGACAGTTACACAGGACTCTTTCGAATGTGATTATTTTTTACAGTGAAGTTGTTAAGGGCTATGTTCTCCAGGATGGTGTCCGTGTATGTCGACACAAACCTACCTAAACAGCTACCGCCATTTATAGGCGACGGCGGAGAGCACACTACCAGTTTGGTTTCCGCCATCTTTCGTAGATGGCGGCAACCTTTCGAGGTATAATAGAAGAATAGATAGTTGGGCGTGTTGGTGGGAATTCATCGTAGGAAACAGCGCGAAAAACAGACGACGACGAAGAAGAAGCACACAATGTATCGAGTACAGCTCCGCTGGTCTTCCATCTTCACGACAGTGGAAAGGCTGAACGTTTTTTAACTACGCGTCTTTGAAACCAGGGTCACGCATGACGAATAGAAAGTTATGAGGTCGTAGCCAATATATTAGTCGCTCAAAGTCCATGATTTTGGATCGTCTGCCCAACCGTTTGCTTCGAGAGCGGCTCTTTTACTTCCTCTTTTTTCACCACCAAAGGAAAAGCAACAACGATGGACTCGAAGTGCACGCGCTGTACCGCAGCAGGAAGCACGGCCCAGGGAGCAGAGAGCGCTTACACTGCGCTGCTGAAGCGCTAACCGAGCGCTGCTGAAGCGCTAACCAAGCGCTGCTGAAGCGCTAACCGAGCGCTGCTGAGGCGCTAACCAAGCGCTGCTGAAGCGCTAACCGAGCGCTACATCACGTGCAAATCGGTGCCACATGAGCTCTTCTTCCAGCGCTCATGAGGCGCTAACATAGCGCTCCGCTGTATGTGTGAACCGGCCTTTAATAGAGAGTTTTATTAGACCGTTTTCGCTTTCTCGCTCCGCTCTATGGAAAGCAGAGTCTCCATAGCGCATGCGCGACCCGCTCTGGGATTTGAGCATGAAGCGTCAGCTCCGCTTTCTTCGCCATTTTATAGGAGCGCATTGCACGCTCAGTAAAGCTTCAGTAGCTGAGCCCGTTTGCTCGAAGCTGGTTAACTAACCGCGGTTAACCGTATTTCCATACGAGGGGGAATTTCAGGTCATGTGACCGGCAGAGCAAGGACGGCGGGGAAACATGGCGGTGCTCCGGCGAGTGAGCGCCGCTCGTTTTGGAAGTAATACGTCGTTGTAGCTGCAATATCGGGCGCGTTTGTCAACAATAAATGGTGCAGGAGGCTTTCGATTTGCCTTACCTTACTTAAAACGCAAAGCATGAGCAATCACCTCGCCGAATTTTTCAGATAGTCCTTCGATTCTGGCAATTCCTAAGCCTAAATGAACGCGATAGTTGTCGGCATGGCAACATCTTTGAAAAATGGATTGCCTTGACTCAATCGGGGGGTACTGATAGCACACAAAAGCAGACAGCGTTCCCATAGACCCTTTGCTAACTTTCCCAAGCACCGAGGTGCATGCTACGATACTCCGTTTCACCTTGTGTTGTACCGCAGAGAAGGCTAGAAGCGCGAGCTCATAGCATTAGGAGCTGCTCTCAACGCACGCGAGCTTGTGCCGCCGAGATGTGCCCTAGAGCAAGAAGCTCGCGCTTGTAGCCTTTCCTGCGGTACATCATGAGGTGAAACAGAGTAGAGTGTATTTACACGCGCTGCGCGTGCTGGCGTCTGCAGTAGTAAGTATTCTAAAGCAAAAAGCCTACAACAAATTTTGCCGTGCACGCCCGCTCGTAAAAGATTTATTATGATTATTTATTTCGAATATTCTATAGGTGGAAGGCCAGCGCGCGCGGATCGTTGAATTACACTTCCAGTGTTCTCCTCGATGTTAGGGTAATTTGCTAATAGGTCAATTTTCACTGGAACCGAATTACAAGTTTTTCGATTTATGTCGGTGTTATACACATTTCTTACATGCTGGCCAATCATACTGCCGGTGTACCGCCCGCCTTTCACTGCTCACTTCTTTCTCATCGTTTCTAGGACTGAATTTCGTCGTCCACTTTCGAACTTGGAAGGAAATTCCAACGAGGCTTGTCTTCGCTTCAGACAGCCAAATATTTAGAAATTTTCCAAACAAGGGTTAATTTAGTTTTACCTTGCCGATTACCTGTACCACGAGCAATAAAAATTGTTTCTTGAGCTTAAATGTATGCCGCGCTGTGTCGCGAAAACACGGTAGCGCGCATTTTTGGGTCCCCCCATTTAGGGAACCTCTCCACGGAAGCCACTTATATTCGCTACAGCCAGGAGGGGACACCAGCTACCACACCAATAATAAAACACGGAGTTATCGCTCATCCAGCCCTCGTCAAACTTGGCTAGGTACTTTTAGGTACCTCGTAGGGAAGGGCGGTTCACTTTTAACCGCGGGTAAAGTTAACCGGCTTCGAGCAGACGGGCCCTGTAGTTTTTCTGGAAGGGAATTCGAAATGGGTGCTCGCCACTTTAAAGCGTGTTTGGGAGCGCGCTTGGCCGTTATAAACCTCGCTGCACTAAGATGGCTGCGCAGACTTTGTTTGAAACGGCGTCCTCCAGAAAACGTTTCACGGTGGTCGAGAACCTCTGGATGCTTCGGGAAATCGCTGGCCGCAATCCTTTCACGGCCCCTGAAGAATGGGAACAGGTGCAGCCTTGTCTAAGGTAGCAGGCTCGATTTTTCTATGCAAGCAGTCGGTAAACGGGCAGATATTTTGTTAGGTTATTTTAGGCAGCAATACAGTGCAAGTTAGCGAAAGTGAGTGAAATTATTTTTTTAGCCAATGCAATTAGTTTTTTCTCCTTCGCATGCCTGGACAAATCTGATTCAAAATTGCTCCCCAAGCCTACCTCTTTCAAAACAGCTTAGCCTCCCACGTCATTCGTTCAAGAAACTTTCGGTAGCGATCCTTGAAACCGGATTTAAGTCAGACAGCGAACGGGAGCAGCGCGAATCGTATCTTATATACCGATTCAACACGATCGATAAAGGAATAAATTGAACTCTAGGAACACTTGCAGTGATTAAAACGTTGTCTAAGAATTAACAGGGAACACCAATAGTCTCCCTGACCAAGTGGCACTGTATTTGCAGTTGGAATCGGACCATTATTCTGTGTGTGTGCGTGCGTGCGTGCGTGCGTGCGTGCGTGCGTGCAGTTGGAACAGTGAGCCTTACACACGCGCTTTTGTACACGCTGCTTCCTTTTTCCTCGTTTTACCCACTCATATGCGAGGTCCGTTAATATTATTTTTTTTTCATTGAAAGGCGAAGCAGATCTGTGCCTTCCGCGCAGTGCTGTCCAGCTGCACACAACGTTGCTCGGTCTTGACCCTAGGCCTGTGTATTTATTTTAATTTTAATTTTAATGTTTTATCTTTTCAATTTGTACTTTTAATTCACTGTCCGGTACGACGACGTCTTTGCAACTATCCGGTGGCAATTCACCCCCCCCCCCCCCCTCCCCTGCGCCCCCCTGCCCCGCGATCTGCTCCTTTCTCCCCTCTCTTCCGCGGCGTGAGGCGCCCGAGGGGAGGCGGTGTGACCGTCGCGGAGATCGGACGCCCACAATTAGTACCGAAGATGTCACTCCAGAGCCAGTGCCGTCCGTTTATGACCTATTGTGCCCACCGTAGTGTCGGAGATCTTATATACGCCTCTTTAGCTTTGAAACCCGCCGCCCTACCGTGGGAGCGTGCTCAAGTCAAACTTTTTTTTTTTTAGTGGGAGTTTGATTTTGTTTCAATATGTTTGCTTTCTTTCATATGCATTTTTACTTTTATTTTTTTCTGACGTCAAGTCCTTCTCACCCCATTGATATATATATATATATATATATATATATATATATATACATGTGTGTGTGTGTGTGCGTGTGCGTGTGTGTGTGTGTGTGTGTGTGTGTGTGTGTGTGTGTGTGTGTGTGTGTGTGCAGGGTGTTTTTCATTTTTGCAGATTTGTTTTAAAAAACGTCATGAAAGCTGCACTTATGCGGTTTGTGCGAGTGAGTTATACACCGAGGGGGACATTATGTGGGTGGCTAATCTTTGCGATGAGTCGGCTAATTAATTGAAATACACTAACTTTTTAGTTAGTGAAAATACACATATGGTTCCAGAACCCCTAAATCAGTCCTTTTTGACAGACTTTTAGCGCGTGAAAAGCTTAGTAGTGCACTAAAGTTACCAGTCGAGGAGCAGGTACAAGGCTAGTGGTTTCGGTAAGGCGCCCGCGCAATTTTCCCGCCTCTTATCTAGCCCCAGCCTTGTACCTGCTCCACGAGTGGTAACTTCAGAGCACTACTGCGCTTCTCACGCGCTGAAAGTCTTTCTGAAAAGGACTGATTTAGGGGTTTTGGACGACGCTCAGCAAGTTTCTAATGGGAACCATATGTCTATCTTCACTAATTAAAAAGTTAATTAGTGAATTTTATTAATAAGCCGACATGTCGCAAAGATTAGCCACCCACATAATGTCCCCCTCGGCGTATAAATCACTCGCACAAACCGTATGAGTGGCTTTTGTCTTTTATGGCTTTTGTTTAAAACAAATCTGCAGGAATAAAAAAAAACAAAAAAACTATATATATATATATATATATATATATATATATATATATATATATATTACACCGGCGTCTCGGTACGGGTAGAAATGTTGGGAGAGGAGATGAGAGTGCATATGGGAACGACAGAGCACCGAGCCCTGGTTGGAATGATAAGTTTGTAGACGCAAGCACGGCTGCCGTTGCCTCTGCACACAGTTAGAACCCGTTGAAACACCAACCGGCGTCCGCCCTTGAATTTCGAACAGTGAGTCTGCCCACTGATCATATCAACCTGAGCTCAGTGTTTTGACGTCCCGCGCGCTCTCATGTCCTCCTCTCCCTTAGTTTCTACCCGTATACATGATGGCACCGGGGCGTGAATGGCCCTATGAAGCATTCTGCGCACAATAAATGCTTTGTCGGTACTGACCCAAACGGACCGGAAGTGCTGCCTTTTGGTTCGAGGTACTCCGTTCGACTCCAACCTGCTCGGGTTCACTTTGTTGAGGAACTATTGCACAATGTCGAATGTTCGGCGTGTCATCCAGTTGAGGGATATAACCGAACAACAACAACCAGCTTAAGGTTGTTGTCGTTCGGGTGGTTGGCTCCCTCTCCAAAAGTGTCAGAGCCGGGGAGTGGTTCATGCTGTCTGGGGCGAACACGTCGATTGACTTATTTATGCGTTTGAGTTCTTTCTTTTTCTTTCTCTTTCTCCATGTTTTTGAAAGTCTATTTATTGGTGTGCTCATATCAATAAATTTTAGCTGCGCTTAAAATTTGTTGTCATCGTCCGTTTTTTTTTTTATCGTTCCCCATCTTAGGGTCTACAAGATATCGATTCATTACCAGCTTTCCTGCATTCTATCACTGCTTATAATTAGGGTCGAGTTTAAGTCGACCCAATGATCGTGTGCGCTATACCCCTGCGCAAGACCGCTCAACTGGAGCGACTATGAAAACCCCGAAAAAGGTATATAACTAAACCAAGAATACACAAGCAAAGAAAGAGTGAACATCACGAAGCGGCAAACCCGTAATTCTGTCACTGTCTGCAAGCGACCAACTCAACCTCATGACCGCGTACTGCTGATTTTTCGACTTTATCTACAGAAGGCAACTGCGGGGCGCAGGACACGAGTTTTGCGTGAGCGTTCAACTACGGCTCATATTCCACCAGTCAAGAAACGATGCAGTCACTAATGACACAAGCACTAAAAAGAAAAGAAAAATACGAGCACCAGCTTAACGCTGACGGCAGTCATTTTGAATCCGTGTCCCGTACTGGCCCGTAGCTACTTAGAAAATCCAGCATTATAGTTCTGCTATCCAGGAGAGCGGTGAATTAGCTAGCTTAAATTGGTTTATCATTTACTCTACGGAACAACAAAAAGAGGTTTAATCTAATATTATTTTTTTAGAAACTGCGCGCGTAGGTCACTCATAGAACCTCGATCATGTGATAAAAACAGGCCTTTCTGTCTTTCAGTTTCGGTGGTGAACGCTAAACACTCCGCGTCTGCGTAAGTGCATCCAAGATGATAGCCCACTTTTGAACAGGCTCATGGGCATTAAAAATATTTCTAATTACAGCAAAAGTAGGCGATACCTTGCACGAACTTCTTTTTCGTGTAGGTCCGCATGTCAGTCAATGCGGGTTCTTAAACACCATATAAAACTAGGAGCAGGAACATATCGTACGAAACACCATCATTCGTTTCCAGAGTTAAGACTCGAACAGTGCTTTGGCTAATAATGTTTTCTTTAAAATCTGCTGCAACAACCCGCCCCCCCCCCCCCCCAAAAAAAAAGAGAACAAAAAAGAAGAAAAACTGCGTCTTAACAAAATATAAATGTTTGAAAATTCTAGACTTTTCTTTTTACCAAGCAACCAATTAAAAACAGTGGCACACATTTGCTCCTTTCCCCCAGCCAAACCTTGACAAAAAAAAACAGTTGTGGAAATTTTATGTTTTGGCAAATGGATGGATACATTTTTTTCATTCTTGACAGAACGTTTTGTCCAAGGCCCTGAGACAAGCTGAGATATATCACTTCTTGTGCCAAGGGGGAATAGTTGCAATGCGATAATTACTTAGCCATAACAAGGGCAAGAAGTATGTGGGTAACCGGGGGGCCATGTCATATGACCATATCACGTAAGTTGACGGAACGAAGAAGTTGATAAAAGCGGCCAGAATGTGGCCTGAGCATATAGGCGACCGCGTGTCTACATCATATGATCGTATCTGGTGATTCGACGTCACGGAAGCATTCTAAAAAGCGGTGAAAGGTCGGAGACGCTCAGTATAGCCTCATGGCAACTACTGGGAAAACCGGTGCCGAATGTGTGCATGTATTAAGCCAAACCAATAAGTAGCATGCCGCAGATTCCGAGCCGACCGATTGAAGCCCACCTATTTTGTGTATACGCATTTTATCCGTGGGATAAAGGCGTATCAAGCATAGAAGAGCACGTTTAATCATAAACTCAAACGTTTAGTGGCGTACATTTGCACCAATTTACGGAACCTGTGAGCTTGCGTCATGTGTCTTTATTCATATAAAAATAACGAAGTATTTTTATAACCTATTTTAAGTACCGGCAATTCAGGCCTTGACTACAACGGCGGAGCCGTATACCTGGGGGCTCAGCACTGTGGGCAGAGGCAAATGCACTTTGGTGAGTTCCATCTGCTCAAAGCCTGCAGCCTTCAAGAGGCGTTCCGGTCTCCTGTTCACGTGACATCCACAAAAGGAGAAACTCCACATCGGGTTGAGCAGCGTTCGCACGAAGAAGCCCCAGGTACCTTCTGGATGGGCCACGTGCTCCAGGAACACCAATCTGCCACCCTGCGTAAAATAAAGACAAATTCATATGGAAGTATACTCTGAAAAACGCCCATACCGGTTATCCCACAGAAGACGCGGATGGCCATCCGCCTGTGGCTGGCTTTACGGCACCTGGAAGCTGACCACCGCGGTGACCTCGGAGCAGATTCGAGCATTGCCGGTGCATTTACTCGCTTACTGCTTTTTCAGGGCAGAGGGCGCGGCGGTCAAGAGAAGGATCTGACAAGCTAGAGTAGCTAGAGACACTGAGGCAAAATCTTTCGAGCAGCGGCAGACTGTTGCCTTCTGAATGGATGTCTCTTTCCAGCGAGACGGCTGCTTCTTCGGTGTACGGCTACGGTGATCTTTTGATGTTTATAAACATGAACTGCCTCCTGCGTCGCAAGCGACCTCCGGTCGCTCCGTCTTTACAATCCTGTCGAGCTTGCTTATATCACCAGTGCTAGAGAGCATAAATGCTACATGGACAACAAATTTGGAGATTTGACGAGGGCCTTCGGCTAAAAAAATTAAAGTTTTGGAGCAGACAAGATGGTTTACGAGAGTATTCGAATACTTTTAACAAATCTCGGGCTTCTTCGTTCTTTTGGCTTTTAAATGGAGAATTGGTGTTTAAACATTTCACCGACATTTCAAGCAGTGGGAGTAGTTTGGGCTTTGTTAATTTTTTTCATGAACAGCAAGTTCTCTGGGACGTCAAAAACTGGGGCACCGTCTGGTGACGTTGTCGTGAAAAGGATGCACACGAAGACTGCACCAAGGACGCTTAGGGGTTCCGCGCAGTGATACTCCCGCACATTTTGGGATCGGTCGCGAGAACGTTAAAGGGGTCATGAACCGCTTTTCCAACTTTTTCCTGTTTAGCTTTCCTCCTCAACTCATAAATCGCGCATTCCACCAAACAGTTCATGAAGACAAAATGAGGGGAGGCCTCTCTTGCTCGGAATCTGGTTTGTGTTCCCGGACAGAGCCATTGTCCCCCTAGAAGGTTATAGCCTGTCGCTCACAATTCAGACAAAAGTTGCTTTCCCCAACCCGTTCACCCCGAAGCTGACAGTGCTGTGGAAGCTACGTGCGCGTTGGGGCAGCCAGACTTGCCACGTGATCACGCTGCTTCGCGCATACTCACGCGCAGAGAATGAGGTCAGGTGATGAAAGGGAGGTGGCTGATTGGTACGGCAAGCGCGTAGCTTCCACCACAATTTCAGCTTAGGGTTGAAGGGAATAAGTGAAGTCCGGTTTCGTGTGACGTGCGTTTGGACCCGATGACGCCTTTTGGGACCGCGGATGTATCACAGTGAAAAGGAAGAGCTTTTGAAGGGGGAGCAGGGGGCACAAAATAGTCCGCTGTGTTTTAAAATTCTCGCACTGAAAGTCAGGCTTTTGACTTTCTACCTTTTTTTTTGGCCCACTGAACGATTGTGCTATTAGTAAAATCCCAATCTAAAATGATTTATCCCAACCCAAAATTTGTTTCATGGGCCCTTTAAGAGTGTCTTCCGAAGGTGTTTGAAACGACGCTGTTTATGCATGGTTTTGTTGGGGTATCTTTGCCACTTTTACGTAGTGTACACTGTACAGCATAAAAAATGAAAGACGTTTATAACACCCGGTAACGCCCAATCGGAGTGCAGCTCTTGAGGAGAAGGAAGAAAGGGTACTGAGGGGAGGGTATACCCCTCCCCCTCCTCCTCCAAGCACCTCCCCTCCTTTCTCTCCCTCCTCCTGCCTCCTCCTCACTCTCCTTCTCCTCCTCCTATTCCTCCCCGCACGGTGCATCATGGGACATATCTCATAATGCACTGCGCGGTTAGCCGAAAACGGGGTCCCAAGAGCTGCGCTCTAAAATTAAATTGTTTTCAAACGATTATGCGGCCACTTTACAGCGTAGCTCTTAGGCGCCCGTTTCCGGCTTGAGCGGCGTCGCCGTCGCGTCGCCCGAACCGCAGGTTGCATGCAACGCGCATGCAAAGCTTGCATGCAACGCGTTGCATTCAAGCAGCGTAACCGCGCGCTGCATGCAACGCGCATGCGAAGCTTACATGTAACGCGTTGCATGCAGCGGCGTAAGCGCCCGTTCTGTTATGGGTAGTTTTCCATAATGACGTCACAAGGGTTACCCTCGTGAAGGCTACGAGGGTTACTTTTACGAGGGTCACGGGCGTTACCCTCACGAGGGTTGCGAAGGTTTGTTACTCTCAAAAGGGTTACCCTCACGAGGGTTATTCTCAAGAGGGTCACGAGGGTTACTTTCATGAGGGTCACGAGGGTTATGAGAGTTACCCTCCCGTAACCCCCCCCCCCCCCCCCCCCCCCCGCCTCAGGGAGTCACCTGTCCCTCAGTACACTTCGATCCTCCTCCTCAAGAGCTGCGCTTTAATCCGGCATTACAGGGAGTTGTAAACGGCTTTCATTTTTTTAATCAAAAGTAGCTAGTAACGGGTAACGTAATTTGATAGGAGATAACGTAAAATAATAACATTACTTTACTCAACACTGGATAGTAGACGCGGCTGTGTTCCTCGCCCTCGAAGGCTTTCCACAGCAATAAAAGCCGGCAGTTATCCCCCCCCCCCCCCCCCCCCCCCCCCATTCAAAGGGGGGAAGAGCCCAAGCCTGCGTGGGCGTCCAGCCCTTCTAGCTAGGCAAACGCTGTCGGCTTCAATGTCATTGGATTGTCGCGGAATAACATGCATTCCCTATAATAAAATATTTGGTTGAAATTTCCCATGATACTCAACAAGTCCCTCGCAGCCAGCGAGAGCCGGCGCAAGCAGCGCCGCCGTAGGTGAGCGAGTTCGCTCCGGCCACGCGCGAGGTTGGTTATAAACTTTGGACAAAATGTGCTCCTCCCCGCTTGGGCGACTTCATCGTTGCTGTTGGTTTTTTGCTAAATAAAAAGTCAACAACGCAGGCAAGATGCCGCTTTCAAGTGAATAATAATTAAAAAAATATAATGAGTACAAAACACACACCGCATGTCGGCCTTCCCCAACGCCGTAGAAAATGAAGGCCTTCGAACGCCCCAATCGTCCTCCATGGAACGCTATCACAGTCGGATGGTGACAAGTCAGCAACCGGACCCGAGCATGATGCCGATTCAAGCCGTGACGTCACATCTCTAAAGGAGACCTGATTGAAGACGAGGGGATCCTATCGTGACACACAGAAGTTAAAAGTATTAAACGATTACAGAAACGTCGCATTGTTTGATGTATAAGTGATAGGCGCAACGTAACGAAACGTAACCTAGCTATAGCCTTACATATAAGAGGAACATTTTATAGTCCACCGTTTATCTATGCCATCGTATTTCTTCCTTTCAAATGAGGTAAAGGAACTTTTTCACTAACCCTCTCACATGAAAGTAAGGTCAGATTTACCAGCGGTATAAAGGGCGCATCTTGGCCACTCAACGTTTCCAATAAATGATCAGCCTTGACTAGCAGGCGTTCACACGAACCTTCGCGCACAAAAATGAACCCGGCAAAATGGATACAATGAAATAAGGTCACGCACCTTGGACAGCACTCTCCGGCACTCTGCCAGAACCTTTCCCATTTCAGTCACGGAGCAAAGCACGTAAGTTATCAGCACGACGTCGAAGTGGCTACGGGAACTCCCCGCATGTCTTCGGCGTACTCGTGAACCCAATTCTCCATTTCCACGTTAGGGTACTTTTCCATGTTCTTTCGGAATCCGTCGTCGAACTCGGCGTTGGGGTCCACGTTCCAGTACTTCACCTTCCGCTGTATGTGCGCGAAGTTGGCGCCGAAACCGGCACCAATCTTCAAGACCCTGATGGCGCCTTCCTTCTTAAGAATGACATCGTGAGACACCAGGCCCATCAGCTGGGACACCGCTTTCCGACGAACCTCGTTCGATTTGTCCCCCGACAGGTACAATAATATGGGTAAGACAAAGCGCGCGAAATACGCCTCGTGAAGCTTCTTGCTTATCTTGAACGGCACCATCAAGAAAACACCGAGGGTCATGGACCCGTAAGTGAAACAAGACAGTAGGATGTCGCCAAGCCTGGTCATCGTGGGTGTTCGCAGACCCGGGTTCCCTTCTAGAAGACTTGCTCTTCGGCAGCTCCTCTGTGGAAACAATGAACGCCCGCAGCTTTTCACGGCCTCCTCACCCGTGCACGGCTGCAAGAATTATCTTTACTATAGACTATAGAGATATCATTGTCAAGGATAAAAATGCGACGAATAGCTGCTCACCACAAGGGTAGATATAAAAAAAGCTCTATTACCGCAACTCTTTCTCTCTCTCTCTCTCTCTATATATATATACATATATATATATATATACACACACAGTAGTGAACAAAAAGGATATGATATTTTGTTTCTTTTACAGAAGTATTGTTCGACGTCTAGTTGATTGATTTATATCAGTTTCTACTCTATAAATACGTTAATGCAGTGTTCCATTACAATTTTTATATCTCTATCACAGTTCCAAGAAAAGTTACCCACGTAAAACCGAAATATCATATCTTTTTGTTCACTACTGTATATAGAAAGAGAGAGAGACCCGCGACACCGCCACATATATATATATATATATATATATATATATATATATATATATATATATATATATATATATATATATATATATATATATATATGATGAATGCCGGATCGCGGCCGAAACGTCGAAGAATAAAGCGCGCTGTTTTCACCAAGGGTTTTCTTTTATTCATATAATGTGGCGGTGTCGCGGGTTTATATATATATATATATATATAGATACATATATATTTTCCCCCTTTCCTTTTCCTAACTTTAATGCAATAAATTCTATAATCACTTTCTCCCCTCTTCGTTCACAATATTACTGCGGCTGCACTGGTCAATTTTCACTCATTCGCAATATGTATTTATATATGTTTTTCCCTCTTTCATTAATATGGGATCATCTTTCCGGTTGGGGCCTCCCTCTTCTTCTCGATTGCTGTATTTTGCAGCAGGACTGCATTCTTTGCAACCAAAAAAAATAAAATAATAAAAAATAAAAAGTGCAAGGGCTAGACGCAGGACGAGTGAGAGGAATGTACACGAATGCATTCTTGAGCGTAAGGCACCGCGGCTCGCTATGGGTCTCTATCATTGCTGGCGGTAACGCGTTACAAGTGATGACGTTAGCGTTACTGCGTTCCTTTTTTCGGTACCGTAGTAAGGTACTCGTTACTTTTTCAAAACAGTAAAGAGGAACGTATTTTTCTTATTTATTTCGAATAACGTAAGGTAACGTAGTTACCTTACGTTACTTTACTTCATAAAGCTTTAAAAAAATGTGTTTGTTTTTCGGCGCTCAGTCATGAACGAATTATGAATAATAATTCGCCCCCAAAAAACAGAAACAAAAATTTGCCTATCTTTATTGCACACAAACACTCCTGCTTTACGGAAACCCCAACGCCACACCCGTTGACCCTGTTTCGATCAAGGATATCGCGGTCAATGGCATGCACGATGAATAGACGTCCTGTCCCTCCGCTTGCGCCCATAGCGTTCATAGTCGTATTTGATTAAATACAAACAGGAAATACTCGATAATAATCCTTAGAGAAGGGGAACAAGGGAGAAAATGGGCAAACACAAATCTCCCAACGCAGCCAGATGACTGGTGCGCGCTGAAAAAATCCACCTGATCCTGGTATCAAACCAGAGACCTCTCCATTTCCACAGAACCACTCTGAGCTAACCCGGAGTTGGACATCATTAAAGCGAACGGGTTTTATCAGCCGCCATTAGCCGCCACCAACAAGAGTGAACAGCCTGCACTATTAAAGGGGCGATGCAACAGTGTTTTTTATACTTTGCGCAAATCCCCGACTTTAATTACCTAAAAAACACTCGTTCGTTTTTACCCCACGCAATAAAAGTCTGGGGAAAAAAAATTAGAAAAAAAAAAAAAACGCATCTCCACGTGGTGAATGATGTTGATTGGGGCGAATGTCCGCTGAGCTGCAGCATGCCGAGCCTTTCATTCGTTTCATCCATGTCACGCTGCGGTCAAATGCTCAAATGCGTGTATAACCACGTTCCATACCACACATTCTCTTTATGACATGGATGAAAACGAACGAAAGGCTCGGCATGCTGCGGCTCACCGTCTACGCAGACAAGCACCACCAGAGCTTCGGCCCAATCAACATCATTCACCACGTGGAGATGCGTTTTTTTTCCCTACACGAACACGGGAGCACGAGCATTCGACGCCGGACATCGGACGGACCTACGGATGTACCGCAGCGAAGGCTACAAGCGCGAGGTTCTTGCTCTAGGGCACGTCTCGGCGGCACAAGCTCTCGTGCAGTAAGGGCTGCTGCCAACGCTATATGAGCTCGCAATTCTAGCCTTCGCTGCGGTACAACATAAGGTGAAACGGAGTATAGTCCCTAAGGAGCTTCGCCGCTAAAAGAAAACAAACAAGGAACATTGTGAGCAACACGTCTCATCAAAGAACACGCCGCCCGAGAACGGCTGCCTCCTTATTTTTTTTTAAAAATTTGATTCACTTTGTTACTTCATTTTGTTGTTGGGTCAACCGTTCTCTTCTTTGTAACGATGCCGACCGTGGCAACCGTTCTAGTGATATGATTGGCGTTTGTTTTGTCACGCGATGGTGTGGTCCGACCGATTAACCAATGAGTTTGTTAGAATGGTGTCCCGAGGTATAAAATGGCGGATCAAATAAAAATAACAAATGCAAAGAAGCGCGCAGTTCCCCCTCGGCGCTTTAGTCTTCCAGAGGCGAGCGTTGCAGTGCCATGGCGTTTAACTTGTGCCGTCTTCATGATGCCATGAAAGACCCTCTTGAAGCAATTTTTTGCTTACGGGCATGGGCCTGCTCTGGGGTTCTCGTGCGTGCCCAGAGTGCGAAGCTGAGATGACGCTGCAAGTCCGCGCTAAATCTGCGAATGGCTACTCGTGGGGATGCGGTGTGTGGATGACTCATGAGGTGCTCAAAAGGAAGCCGGTCAAGGTTCAGTGCCGGGGCGAGGTCTCGTTACGGAGCGGTTCATTTTTCGAGGGATCGCACCTGACGCTCTCCCAACTCATAAAAATCATCTACCTCCGGTGCCAGAACCTACTGTGCGCCGTCATTCAGCGGGAAACTGATGTCGCAAGTAAGACAATAACTGATTGGACGAGCCTTTGTCGGCAGGTTGTGGTAAATGCCGCCTTTACGCATTCAGAGATAATTGGCGGCGAAGGCGTGACTGTAGAACTTGACGAGAGTATGTTCGGGCGGCGAAAGTACCGTCGCGGGTATTTAAGGCCTGGCCAGTGGGTTTTCGGCGGTGTGAAGCGTGGCAGCGGGTGCTGCTTTTATGTTCCTGCGGAGACCCGTGACGCTAAAACCCGGCGAGGGCTAGTAGGCGAGTGGGTCCGCCATGGAACAAGAATAATCACTGACGGTTGGGCTGGCTATCGCAAGCTTGCAGATGACGCTCGCTTCACGCAGCTCACCGTCAACCACAAGCTGCCCTTTGTCGACCCGAACACTGGTGCGCACACCAGTACGGTGGAGGGCACCTGGAATCACGTCAAAAACTCTCTTCCATCTGGACGGCGCGAGAGCCACCATTTCACTGGTCACCTTGCAAAGTTCATGTTTTGGAGGAGAGAGAAGGCGCGCGGAAACACTGATAGATTCCAGTCGTTCGTCACCGCGGCCGCCAAAATCTACAGCCCCGATGCAGCGAGGGACCTTCCCTATAGTGCGAAGGAGGAGGAGGATTCTGACGGCCCCGGTGACTTCGAGTGATTCGCTGCGCTGAGCCCGTCTCCCGCCTGCGTGCATAAAGACGACTTATGCGCCAACCGCTTGTGAAGTGCTCGTTACGTCAATTATAGGTTCTGGTAGCGGTCTAAACGGCTCTTTTCAGGGCCTCTATATTTTGCAAACGGAGCTGTTTTCTGAATGCGGTACCTCGTGTCTCCGTAAAAGGTTCAAAGGAAGGACCCAGCAAAGGTATGTGGTCCCCAACTTGAATATCGAGTGTTACGATTCAAATATTAATTGTTCTTGCTTATTTCGCTCCTTTGATTCCAATAAATGCCGCCGTTGCAGTCGTCCCGCGGTGCTGTTGCTTGCTCAATCGCCGTCGGCGTGTCTCAGCTTCGTCGTCTTTGTCAGCGGCGCACCGGCGAAGGCGGTTAATCTGACACCGCTTTGGCTATACTCTGTTTCACCTTATGATGTACCGCAGGAAAGGCTATACAAGCGCGAGCTCCTTGCTCTGGGGCACATCTCGGCGGCACAAGCTCTCGTGCACCAAGGGCAGCTGTATGAGCTTGCGCTTCTAGCCTTCGCTGCGGTACAACATAAGGTGAAACGGAGTATAGCAGACGGCGTTCGTAAAATGGCATTAGCTGTTGCTGGGCTCACGCGGCGGTACCGTGCGTGCTTCTATTCATTCGGCGTTCGTTGCCATGGTGACGGCGAGGAAAGGAGACGAACTTTATGTTGCGGAAGAGCGCTGCGGCGCAGCGATACCAGGTGCGTTCTAAGGCCCTTCCCGCATGCTTTTCAATGGGCGGAAGGCGAACAAAAAGAGTTCAAAATAAGGACTTAACCCAGAAGGCTGCATTTCTCCAGCGCCCCATAATTTGACGAGCCTTACACGAAAAACGCGTTCTTTTGGCCATCCCGCGTCCTGTTTTTTTTTCTCTACAGTATCAAGCTGCCCAGAGGGCAATATTAGAGCCTCATGAGCGCTGCTTCCAGCGCTCATGTGGCACCGACTTGCGCGTGATAGCGCTCGGTTAGCGCTTCAACAGCGCTTGAGCTGGCGCTCGGTTAGCGTTTCAGCGGCGCTCGGTTAAATGCCCATACGCATATTCGCGTTTGAGCGCGGTGCGTTCAGTAGCGGCAAGCGGGCGCGTTGCGTTGCGAAGACCGCTTGCGCCAAACTTGTACGCACAGTTGCGTTGACACGCAGTCAACCGCAGTCAAGAGCCAATAAGAACGCGCTATCGTCGCTAGTGGCTCACCAATAGTAAGCGAAATCCAAGGCAACATGGCGGCGCACGGCGACAGCGTCGAAGTGTTCGATCTTGGGACA